ATTTAATTAGCGTGAGTTGCATCAACTTACTTTAACTGTTCAGTTAAAGTGCCGGTTAGGTAAAAAATCGGTTGCGCCATTTGACGATAGTCAAAATGAGGTCATAATTTGATATTGATAATTAACTGGCCACGCCAGGTTAGTCATAGTTTGACTTTAAGTAGCTCTGTGCAAATAACACTAAGTATCGCCGCACACGGGCCACCGACCACAACCACAAAACGCCGCCACCAGAATATTTCTTGTAGTTTTCATACATTTTATATGGACTCGCCACATGGTACACCGCCGCCCCGGTGGCCGCCACATGCTACAAATCGTCGTTGCTCGCTTCTTGTGGCCCGCACCGGCCACTTAATGCGCCGATACAAAACGCCGCCACACGTCACTCGCTCGATTCCCCACCCCTCTCTCCCTTACCTTAGTTGGCCGCTGTCGCGCGCTACTTTAGTAGCCGCTTCTAGCTTCTCGTGGCGGCGTTTGTGGCTGTGGCGTGTGGCACGTGTGCGGCGTCACTAAGGGGGAGTTGCACCAACTTTTTTAAACTTTAACAATTCAGTTAAAGTACCGGTCGAGTAGAAAATGGATAGCGCCATTTGACGATGGTCAAAATCTGGCCATGATTTTCCAGCGATAATAACTGTCCAAGCGAGGCCAGTTAAAGTTGTACAAAAATTTAACTTTAACTAGGCTCTGTAGTGCAACTCATAACTTAATGTTTAAAATTTGAGATGACGAACGCGACCGCTAACGCTGAAAGCTAAAAATACTCTATTGTTTCAAGAGTTCGCTAACAAATTGCCACATTTACCATAAACGGGCACAAGAATATTCATCGAAGCAGAATAATAAACTCGTTCCTACCGCCAAACTTTTGAGTAATACGAAATACGTTATAACAACAACGAACCGGGAATTGTGTTAAGGTACACCGGGATATTTGCATACCTTTTGAATTTCCCGCCATTTCGGCCGGGGTGCACCTACAGCAGTGGTCACCGGCCGACTGTCAGTTATATGACAGATTGATAGACGATTTACTCGGCGTTTTGGGTCAAATGAAACCTCACCCGTGTTCAAAGCGTTCTAGTTTCGTTTTCCTTAACGAATTCCTAGAAATTAAAACCCCACCTTCGTAATGTAAATTGCTGACATTTTATAAGTATTCAAACAAATACCTTAAATGTTACCGTCAAAAGTTTAGCCATTTAAGTGAGTTTTAAGCCATTATCTCGAATATTTTATAAGTTAGAATAAAAGTAAGAACTTTACCATTACTTTACATTACACTAATACGACTATTGAACTCGAAAGTTTGCAAGTGACTTTGGATGTGATCATATTTATATAGCTATGTTTATTTGAATAAAGAAATAAAATTGAATAAATATTTTCACATAGATATTGCTTGACTTTTAGAACCAGACTGCAAGAAATTATTAACTTAATAACAATCATCTGAAGTAATAATTATTTTGCAAGGTACATGACACTTACAATAATTAAAACAAAGTTGGGAAAAGTTTGAATTGATAAGTCGTTTAACAAAACAGGAGTAGGTATTATAATCATAAGCTGACTATAATAATCAAAATTATACAGTTTAGGCTGTAACAAGCATTCATGATTGTCTAGAAGCTACGCCATCGGTTCGAAAATCTACGGCGGGAGACCTTGTACTGAGAAGACCCGGCAAGAAACTCAGCAAGGGTTGTATTTTTCTCCCTTCTTTATAATTTACAGAGTCGCCAAGTTAAAAAAATAATTCAGAGATGATTCATGAAGTCACCTTTCATGAGGAATGATTAAATATACATTTATTGTTTACCTGCATTTTTATTGCTGTATCACATACAGTAAAAATACATACATACATATGCCTCACACACAATCAATGACAGATTAGTCAATCCCATTAAACAAAATAGGTAGCGCAATTTATTAGGTTATTCTTGACGTTATTTAAATCAATCCGCACTGGGCCCGCGTGGTAGGTCACGACCCAATCTCCCTATTTTAATATAGGGACCGGACGGCCTGTGCTTATGTAGTAGGAACATCAATAGGCCTATGATGTGATGATTTTTGACGTTTTGTCCTTTACAGAACCAAACTATTTTAAACGAAACATTAGTTTGGACCGATAACGCTGTAATTTTATCTCTGTTCGTCGAATTACAAATGTCAGTTTATTTATTTGACCAAAACACTGTTAATTTTTTTCCTCTTGTCGACATCCTCAAAATTACTAAATTTTTGATTCATTTTATAAATATATAAAGCTTCTCAGATGGCCCATCTGCAACGACTACTGAAGCAGCCAGTAGTAGCGAATAATGGTGCCTTTCGAAAAAGGAAATAGCTCGAGTTGATAAAATTTTGGTTACTTATCATATAAAAAGTTAACATATACAAACGCAGACTAAATGCGCTAATCATTGCCTAACGAACTATTTTAGTTACGAGTTGAAGACAAAAATATATTGTAATTATATTTGTTTTAAATATTTTTCGTTTAGGTGTGGTTATTTATATGTAGTATTATTATTATTAAATTACTACTAATATCACCAACGAATCTCCATCAATATCATTTCTCGTTTATATTTTGAAGGATTGGTTGCTGTGACTAGATTGTAAAGATGTCGAGCCATTTATTGAGTGTTTTTTATTAGTCATATAGACATATCTATTGTAATTGTATTTTAATGTTTAGTCATATAACTTTATTGCTGATAATGATAAATTGTAGTGTTCGAGGTGGGCGCTAATAACTGCGACGCAGTCTTTGACTATGCAGTTATTAACGAACTAATCATTTTGAATGCCTAATTTTTAATGTCTCGAATAAAGATTATTCTTGTATTTGATAAAGTTTAAATCTGCAATCGATTTCTCGGTAATCTTTAATGTTGACCATGAATGGGTCGTTCAGTGTAATAACCAAACTTACCGTATTAGGCACACCGCACTGGCAACTTCTTTACAGTAAAGTTTCTTTGACTCTACTTTTGTGAAGTTTAATTACTGAAATTGAGTTAATTCAAAACAAGCTAGACCCAGGTGTTTCTAGAATGTTCTATAATGCTGGCTCCATTAACAAATGATTCATTCCAAAGTAGCGTTGGCAAGGTGAAGGTGTGGTGTCAGTGACAGCGGTGAATTAATTAGTCAAGTAATTTGTTCTGTAGCCGAAAAGTTTAGCAGCCCTTCGGAGATGAATAAGGGGTCAGCCGATTGAATTAAGCCGTGTTGATTAAGATTATTCGATTTATCATTTATTACGACATCGACATGGTGTTTTATGTAAATGTTTTAAATTTTCTCGAACACTTTTCATAACCCTTTTTATAATTTTTTAGAGTGTTTTGATTAGTTTGTCAAAACCATGTTTTTTGCAAAGTTTAACCTTATAAAAAATATTGTGAACGACAAGAGGAAAACATGGTAAATATAAAAGTGTGCGTAAAAGATGAGTACAGTTATATTTACATCTGGGGCTGTCGATTAATAAATTAAACATTCTTAAATTTCACCGTTATAATAATATTTAAAAAGGGGACAATTACGTTTCCGTGTCTATTAGAATCAACGAAGTAAGAAATTGTATAAGAAAGACTACTTATATAAAAATAACTTTTGATCAAGTGTTATTGTTACAATCAAGAGATTAGGTTAGTGAATATGTACAAATCGACATTACGTACTCACTGTGGATTGGGGTAGAATCTCTTATTCAGAGCAAATGTATTTTAAAGCATCATACGTACATAAACTTACTTCTTATTCCGTTCATCCTGAGCCTGATAGTCTTTATTATTGTGATTTATACTACAAAGTAAGACAAAAGAGACAATTTAAACAGTAAACACCTGCGCTCCGTGAGTAATATTTTAATGTATGAAAACTCGCGCACTAGCGGCACACTGGAATGAAATGCAACACTCTACGCTACCTTTCGCTAACGTGCACTACAGCTATACCGTAGAGAGAGCCACGCCTTTTCACAAGCTCCAGCCAGTTAATATTACTAAGTTTCGCGAAACACATTTCGTATGAAAATTTGTCCTGAATGCTTCCATGTTCAGTGTTCTGTACATTAAATGGAATCTAATGCGAAACTCAAGTACCTACATGTTCATTTAACTTATATTACGTTATTATGCTGTTTTACGTTTTCTTAATTTATTACGCAACGACTTCGTCTGCGTTACCTAACATTTTTTGAGATAAAAGTTTCCCAAATGTCAAACCAAGTCATAAACTACATATGTGCAAAATTTCAGAAGTTGTTTTTGGGTGATTGAGCAAAAAAACGTACAATCTTTCACATTTTTAATATACGGTAGAGGACTATAACACATATTTTTGTATTTAAAAAACCGTCAGTATCTTAGCTATTTCTTACTACTAAATTGTTTTTATTTGTTTGAGATTGATTTAAAAAAAAGTAAAGTAGAAATAGCGATGACCATAGTGCCGTAGTCACACCTGACGGTAAGTATTTACCGTCGCCCATAGATCGGAATTGGTTCAACCATCTCGACAAGCAATACCAAAGTAAATAAAATAAGTAATAAGTAAATACTTAAGTGATTTATCATTTGTAATATACATAAAATAAAATTTCACTATGTTTCACCACATATTATCACGTCATCATAATATGGAAGATATTTACTGTCTGTCATCAATACTGTTACAATTTAATAAGAAAACATAATATTACATTTGAATTTGGAATCTGTCGTTCTTATAATGTGAATATTCATTGTTTTCTCATTAACGCGTCAATCGGTTTTAAATATTTTTGTGTTATTAAAATGGAGTGGAAACATAAAGATAACGGAATTGTTGTGACAGCATTACACAAAGTAGGTATCGAGCCATGTGAAATTTTTGAAACTCTTCAACCTCTTGGTAATAGTTGAATGTTTATGTACCGAGCTATTGATAGGTACAATGAAACCTTCTCTGTTTGTGACAGAAAAAGTATTTGCCTTCCACGTAGTAGGTATTCCTATGAAAAAGGCGATCAAACCAGTGAAGGAAATAATCCAAATAATCCTGTCCAAAAGCAAAAAAAATCAGGAAATGAATTGAGCACCTAGAACCATGTCGCGCATTATTATGACAAGAATGGAAATCCACAATTAAGATCCTTGATAAAAAAATAGTTGTAAACAATGCGCAAGTAACGTTATGTACATAACGAGATAAAATTATCTTAAAACTAGATTTATTCCACGCGCAAACCCATTTTACTTTGAACTTTGCGTGACAACGTTCTTTCAAATATTTTAAGCGAATCAGTGACGAAGTTGCTGAAATTAAAGTTCAGGATATGCTGGTGTCGAACTTCAAGGTTGAGCTACTGTAACTGAAGACACTATATTAAACAAATCATGTAGCATCAAGTCAGTATTGAAATGTATTTACTATGACATCGTTCAGTGAACGTTTTAATTAATTTGTGACTAAACCAGTTGTTTTGTATAATGTGTTGCGAAAAATGAGTGAAGTGGACTTAACAGGTTTAGCTCAAGGTGGTAAGTTCTTGAAAATCAAAAGAATCGACATAATGAATTTTATATTATGAGGACTTTCATGTAGTAGGTAGGAAGGGCGTCAGTTTGTTTTAACAAGCGGAAGTAAGTCAAGTTACTTTCCCAGATTTATTTCCCCATAATGGGGACGAGGAGAAAACCAGTCCGTCCGTGGTTTGGACAGTAAAGTATTAATAGCAACATTAATGTGAGTGTGTGAGTTACCTACATAGATAAGTAAATGTCAAAGACTGCGTCAATACTAGGTGGTAGGGTAATTATGTTGTGCAATTTTTTGTTCTTGCTTCGTATCACATACTGGAATGAAGTTGAATGTTTTTGTTTTTGTAATTGGAAGCAAAATTTTGTTAATGAATCTGCACGTCACTTTTCATGGCACAGTGTCAAAGGCCTCTTATGTGTCAGTAATGAGATGACTTGGATAAATATTTGGTGTGGATCCACTTGCAACATATATAAAAAAAAATACCTGCCATCTTCGGGGTATAAGAGCCTGCGCTGCGTTAAGCAGGAGCATTTAGCGGGCGTCCGCTCCGCGTGTTTGTATCATATTATTTCATAGAGCAAGCAGCGCGCTTGAGGTGCGTCTCATATTGTTTTTACCCGGCTGCGCAATGCAAGAGCGCGAAGCGCGACGCGCAGACAGGGTTATGTGTTTAACAGTCTATATATGTATGTTTGTTCCTTTGTGGCACACTAGAGACCAAACGCCTGGACCGATTTTGATGATTCATACATCAATCGATTCGTCTCAATCATGGGAGTGCTACTAAAGATATGATAGTAATCAAAATTCAATATGGGCAAAATTAGGCGCCATATTGTGACGAAGTAAAAAAAATAAGTTGACAAAATATGTCGAGTGGGGTATCACTGTCTAGATAATCGAAAATCATGTTTAGGTTTCTAACACCATTTTTCATTTTATATGATTGTTTAGGATCTACAACGCTTTAAAGTTGTATATTAACCACTTACGCTTTTAATTTCAATCTTACGTTTAGATCTTTGTTACTCTTTCACCTAAAAAATACTGAATGGATTTTAGTGAAACTTAACAGTAATATAGCTCATATATGATAATTACATATATATAATAATTTATGTAGTTATTGAGTGAATTGGCCAATATTTAACAATAAGTGTCACATAAGACGGAAAAAAATCTCCCATCTGCGAGCCATTTTGGCCTGCACTGCAAAAACAATAAAAGTTACATGAATGTAATGTAGAGTGAAAATGTATCTCTTAAATAGTTCTAAAAAAAGTCCGTGACACCATATATCTATTTTTAATGTGAGTCATTACCGCTAAAATAATGAATCAAAACTAAAATATTATTTGATATCTATTTCCAAAATGCACATTTTGTATTAACAAATCATTTTTTATCAAAACAAATACTTTTATCGCTTTTGATATTTAAAGACGATAAACTTTGCTTTTTACACAATGTCATTTCGACAAATATTTAAAAAGTTACAACGATGACAAAGTGATAGCGCGGTGTACTAAGTAAAAAAAATAAAAAAATGGGCTATTCGCAGTATCTGATCCTATACGAAGTACTAACAATAAAACTGTGATACAGTTCCTTCTTATTAAATGATGAAAAATATATTATCATATAGGTATTTATGATTATTGAATTTTAATAAAAAACTCAGAATTTTCCTGTTTTTCATTTTTTTTAACGATATTACTTAATGTTACAAAAAAGGTTTACTTAATATAATGACAAATAACCCATTTTTCGCTAGTAAGTACATACTTATTGGAATCCCTGTATTTATTAATCAGCTCGCGATAATATTGGTTTTGTAATAATTCTGCAAAATTCAAAGTAAATAATGTAGATTTTTATAGGTAAATCACACCCCTTTCACCACCCTACGCCTATAAGTATTGCGATGTTGTATCTAAGAACCAAGTTCCCATCTACTTCTATATGGGAATTCATTATATTCGATTTAGCTATTAAGGCACGGAAGCGCAACAAACAAACTCACTTTCGCATCTATAATATTATATTATACTTACTAGTGATCCACCCGGGCATTGTACGGGCGAAATTTATTTATCGGGATAAAATATAGCCTATGTCACTCGGACAAAATGTATTTAAATAAAGAAAAATGTTATAATAAATAACGTAGCTACCTTATGATGAATTAATATTTGAAACGGGTTCAGTAGTTTGACAGATCATTTGTTACAAACATACAAATCTTGCCTTTTTATAATATTAGTATAGATAGTTAGGGTAAGATAAGTATTTAATTGATGAAACGGATTTAAAAATAAAGTAAGTAATAGGTTTATTTGATTATATTTGTAAAAGTTACTTAGCATTTGTGCTTAACAGTGATACGTTATTCGGTATTTTTTTAAACAAAAAAAAAATTGTAAATATTTGCCATGATTGCACTACTGGGAGTACTTTTCATTTGAGCTTTACACTACCAATAAAAAAGGGGCGAACACAAAGTCTTTGACCTGTTAAAAGTGAATGCTTTAAAAGAAAACTACAAAGAGAACTATAAATTGATAATAAATGAGATTGCTATGGTGCTCTACCTAACGTTATGAAAATTTTATTATGCGCCTTTAGTTTAATTTAGTGATCTAAGGCAAGGTTTTAATTTAGTGATCTAAGGCAGTTGCCACCATTGTCCAAAACAACAGACGGGAATTACTTCTTTCTTCAACCTGCGACACGTCATTGATTGGTATTGTATATAGGGTGATTAAAAACATTTGAAGTTAACTTCTGGCATCTACATATTGGGTTTCTGTGAATTATGTAGGTATATCAAATTATGAGACTAGGGACTGACACTGAATTTGTGTATATCACAATCTTAGACGTCCGGCATTGACATGACAATGCAGCCACTGCCAATTTTAAATAGTCAACGAATAAAAGTAAATGAATTTTATATTTACTGCTAAACTATTAAAAAAAACATAAACAAAAGATGACTTTTTGAGTAAGTGCTAGTTTTATAAAATTTACATACATTAGAGATATTCATGTAACGACTTGATTTAACTTCACACATTTTTGCGAAAATTGAGGCTGATCTGTAGCCTTGACCCCGCTGGTAAAGTCTTTATATGTCTTAATAAATCAATCTTTTAGACCGACGCAAGGTACTTAATAATTACCGCGATATTAATTCCCTTACTGAAGTAACAAGACTACGGTATATACCATCTTAAAATACTAACTAACTAAAAAGTGTGAAATAAAAAAGCTAAATTTAAAAAATCAAAAAACCCGACTGCTTAATTATACTTCAAAAAAAACTGAAAAGAAAAAACAAGTCCAGTAGTCTATAATTCTGTTAATAAGGAACAAACCTACTTTAACAGTCGGGACCCATTAGATATTCAAGAATACATAATATTTTTCAACAGTGGGTCCCGACTGTTAAAGTATCTTTGTTCCTTATTAACAGAATTATAGACTACTGGACTTGTTTTTTCTTTTCAGTTTTTTTTGAAGTATAATTAAGCAGTCGGGTTTTTTGATTTTTTAAATTTAGCTTTTTTTTGACTACGCGATCATCTTACGGATCTCGGCGGATCGTCCAATGTACCTTTTGGACAGGTTTCAGCTTCAATTCTATAGATAACGGGTTACATACAAAATTAAAGCTAATAATTGTCCGCGTATGTTTAAACTTATGCAGCTACATTCGATTCCCAATGAACAAAGATAAATGTTTTAAAATAGTTTAAAATTGAACTAATAACAATTATCTCACAAAGGAATAAGGTTACAAATAACAAAATGTTATTTCGCATATACGACTTCTTATATTATAAAACGAACTCTTGTTCCTTTTATAAATTATATCTGTTACTTGGAAAAAAAGATAAAGATGAATACTGAAAAATGTGAAATCAACCTTATGACCCACAAAATAAAATATTTTTACCCGTCATTAACCAGCGAGTTACTTAGTTTTGTATTAACCGAACTAATTTAAAATAAGATCTCACGCCTCAAGTCAAGCTATATTTACCGAGACGTGGTTTCAACCACGATTTTGTCAGTGTTCCTGTATCTAGGGCATTTAATATCGTAGGTTCGTAGCTATGGTTCAACCTTTGATTATAATTATTACGCCTATTTAGAGCAATCCGAATAAATCACACAAAGAAAACTCACAATTTGTGAGTGACTCTAATGTCAGATTGTACTAAAGCAGCGTGTGTAGCGCGAGTATATATACCATATGTAGTAGATATTTTTTGTGCCGCCTTCGTGCAGTTAATACGATATCTAGGGTGTTTATAATCCAAGGGTTCAGCAGCATTCGTGGCAATATCCTTATCATGTTCTCTATAGGTCATGAAAAGGAGTGACTGCTTCAAAAGAATACTTAATATTATATTTACCAATAATTAATAAAAATACAAAAAGGCAAGTACTACTGGTCAAACCAGATCGGTAACAGTGAAATCACTGCATAATTGATAAATTTACCCGTGAATTTCACCTATTGGGAATCCAAAGGTAACTTGGATCTGTATTTGGATGTCAGGGCCAATTAGTGTGGCCCAGAAAAAAATACTGTAAGGATTGTGTAATGGGATACTAGGGTGCCGGATAGAATAAATATATGATACATATTTATGTTAGTATATCAATATAGAAATACTTAAATACACCCATGACTTAGGTACAAATGCTCGTATTCATTACACAAAGATTTTCCCCATCGGAGTTCGAACCCGGGCCCTCTAAGTAGCGGCACCTTGAAACCTGGCGTCTATACCACGCGGCCACGGAAGTCGACGCAAGCGTAACATAACATAACAACACCCGTAACATTGATAGATGGTTAATAAATAAAACCTTAAATCCTTATATTATAATCTATTTCAATAACAATCAATTTAAATTATTTTTATAGGTAACAGAAATTTTCACAGTAACAAAAACCAAGATTGGTATTGATTCATTGACATTTGGACAATCAAAACGAAAAACAAGAAGTGGCACCCTAAATCTGTCACTAATTGTACACATTTTTGTCTCTTACAAAATTACTTCCCATCTCGAATCTGAGATCCGTCTTATATACCGGGATAAGAGAGAACACTGTCGAAACCCTGAAGTGCCATAATACCTGGACTTTGATCTTTCGCCTTGCTCCGACAAGTATAATTTTATATAAGTTTCGCACCAACTATCTTCGCTTGTTTTATCTTGATCCGGGAAATCCCTATTACACAGCCTAAACCACAAAGGATCATCTTTAATAATTCTATATAGCTTTTTACAACTTTCTCCCACGCTCAAAACGTCTCTCACAGCGAGACACAATAGTATTTTATGAACAATATCGTCGGGTAGCCCAAATAAATTCGGACTCGGGTACTTGTGGTAATGCAATATACTGCCTTTTATAGGATTAATGATTCTGTCTCGGAGTACACTAATTAATTCTGTCAAATTTATGTAATCCGACGGTATACCCAACGCTGACGTGTTAATATATCTACTTAACGTGATACAATGCGAATAAGTCTCTCCGTGCATTTCTGGTATGGTGGCAATGATGAGAGTCACGTCAGTGAAAGGACAAGCAATAATCTTCAAAGGCATGTTTTGAAAACCGTTAAGAACGAAAGATGCTTCACGAATGGATGAACTTTTTGTTTTTCCATTGAGTATATATTCTGGTATGGATATTGCACGGCCTTCGGTAGTCTTCAGTAGGACAAAATTATTTTCCTTCATTACAATAAGCAACAAAGCAATGAATAGGTCCCATTTCAAACATTCTGGTTTGATTAAGGCATCTATTATCGTGCTTACTGTTTCATGGAACTGGGGCGGCATCTCTTTATTCACGAGCCCCGTTGTGTATTTTCCTTCCATTACATTTGGTTTATATATTGTTTTGCAGATTTATTTTTTTGTCTTTACCATTTTTTGTGTTTGGTCAAATTACTTCTGTAAGTTAAAATTTAAGCTTAACAATACATGGCATGTGATTGACGTTGACAATAATTCCTCGCCAAAGAGTAACGTCAGCATTGCCTTTTGTCTTATCTTAACTTTCCCAACCATGGGCGAAGAATTTTGCAACGCTTAGTTTTTGTTCAAAACGAAATTACGTGAAAGCAATATTATGAAAAAAAAAAGTAAATATCTACATAATTAATATCTTCTGTTATCTTTACTTATTATCAGAATATGACGTGATACTCACTGACAGAAGAAAGGCTTTTGTTTACGCAGAGATTCACCGTTTGATTACGAAATATTAAGGCTTTTACATCGGATGTATTAATAGAACCCTTACTGTAAAGACAAGATTGCAGTAGGTAGTTTCCCACAATATTGGATTAATTGATATCAGGGACCCCGAAAAGCTAGCAAAATTATCTTGATCTTCGGGAGTAATATACCGAAATTAAAAAACACCTTTTGAGTCATCCTATATACTTATACAAATATTATTCTCAATAGAAGTCTTTATGATTATTACTTTTTCTGCTCTGAAATTTCGTCAAAATATTTGATTTGGTACGCAATATATTAGGTTTTACTAACATTTTACTTAGTCAATATTACTAGCTGACATTACTTCCACATGTTTCTGTTTCATTGTTAAATACCTAATGATACTAAAATGCGCACTGGGTCCCTATTCCATCCAGAGGGAAGGCCTGTGCCCCATCAGTGGGGATATTAATAGGCTGATGATGATCATCACCAATATCAGTATCATGACTGTTACTAATATTAAGTTAAGATACTATATCAAAAATAATCTAATAACCATTTATTTGCTATTAAGTTAATTTTTGAGTGTGTATGCTGTTGATCGTAGATGACCTTTACAGCGTCACCGGGACGGCGAGATCCTAAGGGGACCTCAAGCCGAGAATTGGCGAGTGCCTCTAGAGGTATTCCATGCGGATGGCGTCTCCCCACGGGGAGTCTCCTCTCCGTCTGGAGCCTCTAGACCACTCGAACCTGAGGGGGTCGGCTCAACTAGAGGGCGTCTCTGAGACTCGGACATCGGCTCTAGTTAGCCGTTGCCGTGGGGGGGCGGGGAGCTCGTGGGTGGAAGTTAGGAAGTAAAAACTAGAACCCAAGCCATTACAGTACAAATTTTAGTTTTCCAAATCGACACGTTATGCAGTAAACCAATAAAAATCTCTCCTACAGGTAAAGAACAGGTTGATTCGAAACCGCTTACGCCTATGCAAGAAGTAAACGCTGCTCTGAAGGAATGCGGTTTCGGCATATTTCACGCAAGGCTCCTCCTGACGTCTTTCATAGGAATAATTGCAAGTGTCCTAGTCAGCACTTCCACATCATATTTACTACCGAGCGCAGAATGCGACCTTCATATGGATTTAGTGCAGAAGGGGCTATTAAATGCGATACCATATTTTGGTAAGATGAATGTAAGAATATATATTGTTATTGATATTTTTAATGTTAAAAATCTAAATTAGGTATTAGTTTCCATGCAAACAATTACTGAATGAAATCGTAAGAGGTAAATAATTTAATGTCTCACATTGTGCTGATTCGAAATTATTTGAGTGCCTATTTATGAAGCAGTAAGATATCGCGTACGTAATGTTAGATTGGAAAACAATTACAATTTATGAAAAAAAGACAACTTCCCGATATACGTACTTTTGCTAAACTATATTTAATACTTGAGAACCTTTTTCTTTTCAGGAATGTTATTTTCGTCTGTGATAGCCGGATTCTTAACTGATACTTTCGGAAGAAAAATTTTCATCACCACTGGACTGTCCGGCATATTTATTTTCACAAATGTGGCTGCATCCAGTCAAGTTTACAATGTACTGATTGCCGCCAAATTCTTTGAGGGCTTTCTGTAAGTTTTATCATTACTAATTTATATTTATTTTTTTTTTATTTTTTTTTATTCATTAATAGGTAAGCGCTTGACCATAATTCGCCTGATGGAAAGCAATATTATGGTCTACGATGGAGCGCGCTTACCTAATAAAAACCGGTTCACTCTTGCTTTGAAGACCGCTAGATTGTAGTGTTCGGGGAACAAGGGCTCAGGCAAGGAATTCCACAGTTTGGCAGTCCGCACGATGAAGCTGGACGCGAATCGCTTAGTGCGAGTCTTTGGAACTGCCACCGTGAATCGATGTCGCCTTGCCGTTTCCCTGCTCGTCCGGTAGTAGAAAGGGGCGGGAGGAATTAGCTCATGTAATTCCTCTGCGCACTCACCGAAATGCAACCGATAGAACACCGAAAGACTGGCAACTTTGCGTCGATGTTCCAGGCTTTGTAACTTTGCCCGGCAAAGCGCGTCATTTCCAATGAGCTTTATCGCTCGTTTCTCAATTGCCTCCAACGCCTCAAGTTGGTACTTAGCCGATCCATCCCAGAGGTGCGAACAATACTCCATGCACGACCGAACTTGTGCTTGATATAATGTAAGCAACTGTTCCGGCTTGAAGTATCGTCGCACCTTCGAGAGGATACCCAACTTCTTGGCTGCTAATTGGGCCTTGGACTCAATGTATGAGCCAAAGTTGAGGGTTGGTGACAATGTAATACCGAGTAGCTCGAGATGGTCGCTGATCGGTACGGTTACATCCCGGAAAGTAGGGGCCAGATTAAATGGCGTCTTTTTTGCTGTGAAAAGACACGCCTGGGTTTTCGCAGCATTGAACCCAACTAAATTGGCATCGCCCCAATCGGAGACAGCCAAAAGAGAAAGGTTCAAGCGCTCGACCATGGCCTCCCTATGGGACTGGATTTCTGTCGCACTGGCTCGCGCGGTGGATATATAGCTCTCTACAACTGTGCTGTCGTCTGCATACCCAAAGATACCGGGTCTTAGCAGATCGTTAATGTGCAGCAGAAACAGCGTTGCAGAGAGTACCGACCCCTGGGGGACACCGGCATTGATAGCCCAAAGATCCGAGGAGCAACCATCCACTACAACTCGAATAGACCTATCCCTCAGAAAGTCTGAAATCCATGCACAAAGCCCAGTAGGCAGGCCGTATGAGGATAACTTGCTAATAAGACCGTCGTGCCAGACCCTGTCGAAGGCTTTGGAAATATCGAGAGAAACTGCTAGAGCTTCCCCGTACTTCTCGATGGCTTCACTCCATATGTGCGTGGCGCACGCTAGAAGGTCACCCGTGGACCGATTCCGGCGAAAGCCGTATTGTCGGTCGTTTAGGAGGTCGTTAGATTCTAGGTACGCCAGGAGCCTGTGGTTCAAAATACGTTCCATACTCTTACAGAGTATGGACGTAATTGAAATAGGCCGGTAGTTAGCAGGGTCAGCACGACTACCCTTCTTGGGTACAGGCTGTACGTTAGCAAGCTTCCAAGAACTCGGCACTTTACCAGTTGCAAGGGACAGCTGAAAGAGGCGCGTCAAGACAGGAGTCAACTCAAATATTCAAATAAAGTTAAAAAGAAATTAAAGATTATTTGCTTAAAAAACTAGAATAAATGATGATTGTGGATTCTATACAAGTGCGAAAAAATGTCACTGTCTTGCAGCCTACATAATACTAGAAGAAATTCGAAACGGCCATTATGGTTGCGGTAGCATTATTAGTTAGTACATCCGCCTGGATAGCGGAGAGTGCGGATTCGGGTCCCGTCTATTGCCTGGATGGAGTAGATTTTTTCCTAGTAAAATTTTCATTAGATTTATTATAGATCTTTAAAATTACTCCCATGTTGTGTCCCATGTCCCAAAGAAACAATATAACATTTATCATTACTTTTGCTACAGCTTATCACTATAAGCTATTTACCGATGAGTCAGACCAAACCAGTGTCTGGTACCTTTGCTAATCCTGTGGAAGAAACAAATTGAGAACATGTACACCTATCAGGGGCGTAAATATAGACGAAAGGCGTTTTTCCTTTATTGCGTAAAACGATGGCAATGTAGATTATAATTACCATCTAAGTTATCATCAACCGATGTTTTTTCTTTGTTAAAATGTGTTACATCTCGAGTGGTGGAGGTCAGGAGATTCCATAAAACGGGGCCTATCTTATTTGGACTTCTGTTTACTATTTCTATCTTGTTAACATACATTTTTGTGTATCTATGTCCTATATATGTAATATACTATTATGCTATAAACCGATTTTATTATTTATGAAATCAGCAAAGCTATGTTGACACTTCAGACTACAAGTTGGAAACACCCACCGTATTACCATGATTAGTATTAATACTAGCGCTGACGTTGAATGTTAATAAATAAACTAGTTCGCTATTGTGTAACTGTTATTCTTGACATACACTGTAAACATATTGCTGCCATAATAAAAGAAAGCTTTGATGATTGCTATTGTGAATCAGTGATTTATGTTTAAACACGTCAAATGAAAAGAATTACGTACAATAAGGCAGACTGAATTGAGTTACACAACAATAACCAGGCTTTGAAAGTTAACCTTGGGTTTCATAATATTTATATCAATACTTAGTAAAATAATCAAGACAGGTAGGACATAGTGGATTTTCCGCTCGAATCAGAGCGCTCATCTGGGGAAGTAATCCCCACCTTACAGAAGATCACTTTAAAACAACACTACTGCAGACGCGGCCGGGACCAACAGCTTGATATTCCTTCCGAAGCACGGAAGCCTTCCTTGCACAGTATATCATTTTATAATGTAGAATTTTTGATTTTGATTGTGTTCCTTAGATTCTGGAATTCATAAAAACAAGCCGATATAAAATTCTTGTCTATAGGTTTTTTTTTCACAATCAGTCCGAATCTAGTCTTGCGAGTTGTCGCTTTTGTTTACTTTAGTCTTGTACTAGTGCTAAATAATATTATTTAAATCCAAATAATTGAATGTTTCAGATTTGCTACAGCATTTAGCGCAGCCGTTACTCTCACGTCTGAGTTTTGTCACAATGGTATTCGAGATAGAGTATTGATATGCCAATCTTCTTTTATAGCTATGGCTCAAATCATCATAGCTTGTTTATCTTGGGTGATTCTCACTAATGATTGGCATGTAAGTTTCTTCGATGGAGGATTCGGTATGTTTGAATATATTCAAATTAAATTTTTATTATTAATTAATTTAAAATCTGTAGTTTTATAAAACTAAAGATTTAAATATCTGTTTACATTCCTGTTTTCAATTATTGGCATCATAGATTTCAATATAATGTATATAATCAATCTCAGATGTTTTCAAGGTTTTAAAAAGAATTAATTTAGATTGAATTAAAACTACATAAACATGACTCTTTGTTTGCAATTTACAGTTTTAAATACGTGGAACTTTTACTTGGCTATTATGTCTTTGTGGTCACTAGTTGCTACCATACTATACCTTTTTATACCGGAAAGTCCAAAATATTTGGTGACCCAAAGTAAGTTTGAAGAAGCGAGAGCCATCTTGTTGAAAATATACAAAACCAATACAGGGAACTCTGAGGAGAACTTCAAGGTAATTTATAATTGCAGGTAGATTAGGCGTATATCAACTAATATTTATGTATTAAAATGTAACAGACCATTGCTAAATCAACCATCAAGAAAATAACTTGAAAACCATTCACTCATAAGCTTAGATAATCTTAATGTTTGTTTATGTTTTCGGTTTTCAGCACTGATAAAATTATTGTTGTCAGGATTTTTATTTTTTCACTAACTGATAAGATATTATTATTAAGAATTATGTACCTATTCATTCTATAATTGCTCATTTTGTAGACAACAGTATCCCAGGAATCATAAAATATTATCTTGTTGTCTCCTTCATCAACCTTGACTAACATCAAGAAGTAACAATTAAGTTATACGTTAGCTAAAGTAGAAAATGCTCAACTGAATCTACAGTTCACTCGGATCATGTTTGGTTAGTTCATAATGTGATGAGGAAAATTATTAATAGTTATCGAAATCTGCGTAATCTTTACCCTTATTAAGGTTTAAGAGCGGACGCGAGTTAAGAGCCATTTCAGAAATAGGTATTTTAAAAACCATTGCTGTCACAAATACCGTGCGATAGGGACACCAGTAGTTAACGCTAAAAATTGCAAAATTCGAGGTTTGACTCTCCACGATTTCCTCCTCGAAAATTAGATATATGTAAAAGAAATTTTACCCGTAGAATAATAAGTAATTATACTATGCCGGTACGTTTTGCTTTTTTTGTAAATGCTTAATAAATCTCCACACTCGAAGTCTTTAATGATGATAAAAATTTGTTTATATTTGGCATTTTTGTGGGCTCGTAATTTCTTTGAAACACAAGTTATCGAAAAAAGGAAGACATAGGAGCATAGAATGAGTAAAATTATATCTTTTGTAAGAAAATCTATTCTATAGTGATAAAAATCAAGGAGGCATCTGTCGAGAACATTTGTATGGAAAAAACATTGCCCGCCTCCCCCTCTTTAATAAGCTGTCATTTAGTGAACCGCCTGTTTTTCTATCTCTTCCCAAATCATAATTTTGTATAACGTATGTATCATTGAAGCAAAACTAGTTTATTCATTGACTTTTATGAAATGGGTAAACACATCAAAAGTGTACTAAGTAAAATAAAATGCTGTTATGTTTTTCTATTCAAATCTTACTTAAACTGTATAAATATACATTTTTTTTTCTACTCCCATGATGTAAAACCTCTATATAAGATTTTGAAACAGTTAGCTTACTGCTAACATTAAAAAATCAAATCCAATCCTTATAACCATAATATTATCCAAACGGATGATATAATGTTGCACTTGATTATATAATAACATGCTATACTACCTTACATGAAAGGAGTCACTGACAAGATTGGGAGGATTCTGAAGCGTGCTTCGATCAATACTTACTCCAAGCCGCCAAAGAAGATCAACCAGTTTCTACGACCTGTCAAGTGCAATATGCGACTGTGGGCTCTCCTACATCGGGCAAATAAAGAGGAGTATAGGGACTCGGGTAAAAGAACATATCGCAGATATGAAACATAGGCGCAAAAATAAGTCTGCAGTGTGTGAACATGCATTAGGGGGACCAAATCATTCCATTAGATTTGATAAACCACGGATCCTTGCAACTGAGCAACGATTCGTTCCTAGAATGGTGCGCGAGCCTATTGAGATTAAAAAATATCCAAATTTCAATAGGAAAGATGGTTGGTATATACCACCAGCTTGGGAACCTATTATACAAGAGATAAAATCTCAACCCCGAGCACACACTGCAAGACCAACAGATACTATTAGTTCTTTTTGTTTGCATGATTTAACATAAGAAGGAGATAGAAAGCCTCTCTCAGTTTGTTTCGCCGGTTCTTCTCAGAAAGGTCTCCCAATTTTGGAACCGGTGGTAGTTTACGGTAGTTAGGGTCAAATAAATAAACTCAAAATTACAAAAAAATATTTTTAAATAAAGTACTTTATTAACTAATATAACTAATAAATTCATACATAGACAATACAGTTTTAAAAATCTTCCAATGAAATATCCGAACGCTCAATAAAAGTCTTTCGAAGGTAGCTCGACAATGTAAATAAAAAATCATTATTCTGACGATGCAGAGCTGAAAAGGCTGCGAAACGTCAATAAATAAATAAAGTTCGTGCATTAACCCGTTAAAACTAGTTTTATTTAATGAATGAGATGTGCGTGAAAACCTAAGAAACAAATATATATAATAACAGTCCTTCGCTTTTTCGATCCCTTCCGCGCAAAGGGTTTACTTATCAGACAGCCATAATTTTTATTGCTCGATGTGTGGTATTTGTAGTAGGGGAGCCGAGTTAAGTACTCCTGCCATACCTGAGCCCTCTATGTAGAGCCGAACGTCTAGGGCAGCAAAAACAAAATTTCAACTAACGGTCATGACTTTTAGTCGCACCCAAATCGTCAGTCTTTTGGACATAAGCTACTAAAGGGTTCATGTAACGTTTCTAAGAATGGAAAAAATATTGATCTGCCGTTGTTTGCATGATATGCGGGTGACCGTACGAAGGGGTAGAATATAGGAAAAAATAACCGAGCACGTCAGACATTCAGAAGGGATGTTACGTGAACCCTCCAGAAGCTTCTATTCAAATACTGACGATTTGGACCCTAGCAAAAGTCATGGCCGTTTGTTGAAATTTTGTTTTTGCTGTCCTAGACGTTCGGCCCTACATAGATGGTGCAAGGTTGCTCCACATTTATTATTCTGCCGCTCGAGTAAATCTAAAAATCCCCGCTTGGGCCCCTCAACTACAGATACCATCACCACACATGGAGCAAAAAAAAATATGGCTGTCTGATGAGTAAACCCTTTGCGCGGCAGGGATCGAAAAAGCGAAGGACTCTTATTATATATATTTGTTTCTTAGGTTTTCACGCACATCACTCATTAAATAAAACTAGTTTTAACGGGTTAATGTACGATTTGTTTTTCAAGCCAAAAGTTTAGCTTTTAGAGGGGGGGCGCTCTACTTTAACAATTAACAAAAATTAGCATAATAAAGTTCAATATTTCGCAAACATATCCCTAAATCGAAAATTAGTCTTACAAACCACTAAATAATTTAAAGGAACTATACAATAATACCCCACATGATCTACCCTAGGCGATGAAAAAAAATCATCCCCAGGTTACATGTACAGGAGCTTTTATTTCACTATTTTGTCGGCGTGATTGATGTACATATCTCCACAAAATTACAGCTCTCTAGTGCTAACAGTCTCTAAACAAAACTGGATACGGACAGACGGACGGACATGACGAAACTATAAGGGTTCGTTGTCAGGACTACGGAACCCTAAATAATCATTTTATTCACGCACATTTCACTACCGCAAAACTTTTCATGAATTTGTGTTTTTGGAGCATAGCTCCGTTTTGTTATATCAAGCATGTTGCTCTATGGTTTGAAGACAGTGGAACGCCCCATAGTAAAATAATCTTTTGCAAGGGATTCATAGCATGGGTGAAGATAAAGTCTTGTATCCAACTATTTATAATTGGGTATTAAAACACTTATTTGTTACTATTATCATATGAGTGTTTTAATACTCGCCATTAAACAACTGTCGTATAAATAACTAATTGGTACATGCGTTGGGTACTTGATACTAAGACACTTTTGATGCTTCTATTTTTCCATGTACATTAGCATGATTACAAATTACCTTTGTCTTCACAATGTCATATTTTTTCAGTACAAAGATTTGTGGAAGAAATCTAAAGCGACTATACCAGAGGAGACAGATAAAATTAATAGGAGTTTCTCACATAACCTCGTGGTTGGTCTACACAATACAAAACCTATGTTCAAAAGACCGCTAGTATTACATCTTATACTTATATGTACCATGAACTTCTTCATAATGTCACTGTAAGTATCTTATTCCTCTATGGTTGGTTTTGAGATTGGGGAGTCGCGCCAGAATCGACACCAATATACAATAGGGATGATGACGGGGTACAGTAAACGAAATTCTATTTAGTCCGTCAGTTAGATGATCAAAAAATAATGGACACTTATTTTTCCTTTGGGCAATCAACCAAAAAATGACAAAGTTATAGCGCGTCAAAGTTTGGGAGTAGGGGCTCGTGACGTCACTTTTGAGTGAATTTTCACTTATAAGTGTACTCAAACGTGACGACATGCGACTTTTCAAATCAACATATCTCTGCAATGTTTATATTATGTGAAAAAAGAAAAAATACGTATCCAATACTTTTTGATAATCTACCTGATAAACGAAGAAAAAAAAATAGTCATCATCCCTATTACCCCCTGGTACTGGACCAATGCACACATTAGCAACTTTCCAACTTAGCGATTTCCAGGAAGTCCGTTCCTGGAAGTCCACTAGATCTTAGGTTCGGTTCCTATCTCTTCCTTGTTTTCCGTGTTATATCTTTAATCTGATAAATAATATCTTTCTCTTCTTATATATGGATTAAAGTATGTTTATTTGAACTTGAGTCTTTCAGTTTTCCATTACTAGGACATCCCTTCTGCACTCTTGAATATATAATAATAATAATTACAATAAACTATACTAAAAATAAAAGAGGTACAATCGATTAAAGTTAAAATAAATTTTCAGCTACAACGTTTTGCGGTTGTGGTACCCCCAAGTATCGACTGTCATAGAACACAACAGTTTTGTGACACCCGATGGGGAGAACCAAAACCTTTGCGGCATGCTTGATTCATACACGAGTACATTTCGAAATGATAACAAGACGACGTCGGATATTTGTGTTCCCGTACGTACTTTATTTTGACACACTGTTCTTTATCTAGGTTAATCTACTATGAAAATGCTGGCTGCTACGTAGCTCCTCCGATGATCAAATGAATATTTCGACCTATGCATAGAATAAAGTTACATATGAAAATGTTATCAAATTACTTTTATTATACTTTTAGGCGAAACGGACGCATATATTTTACTGGAAAAAACATTTTTTCTCATGTGATTTTTATTTCCGAAGAATATAGAGTCAAGAGCACTACTACCTTTTGTATAGGCAAGAAAGCAGCCTCCACGACTTCAATTTTGTTACAAACTGAGACTTTTTACTAAGTGTTTGATTCTATTTTTGTTATTTGCCATATTATCATAATGTGACACGACAAGACATGTAAATTTTGTAAAACAAAGTTATATCTTCATATAATATTGACACGTTTCCCAAGCATAAGGTCTGATATGCATATATAACATAAAGATGTCCGTAGTAAATTGTCACATAATCACATAAGATACTCTTAAATAACAAAATATGAGCCGTAAATGTAGTTTTTTTTTTAACAATAAATGCGTCATAATTTGCTTCTTAATGCTTTATATTATGATTGGTAAAAAAATCAAAAGCTGGAAAAATACCAATACAAGTTAAAGCAAATTTTACATCTTAGAAACTTCAAATCGCTCTACTGTAAAGTAGGATTATGCAGAAGTAGCTTTATCCTATGGATAGGTCGATTTCTAATTGCCAAACAATAACATATTTATGCTAACGTCGTTGTAACATCAAAGAAATACAGCTCGCCACAGTTTTTTGAGCGGTAGAGTACATAGTGGTTTATCCATTGGAATAAAAGAAAGGTTTTCATTTTACATAAAATCAGGTTTAATTATCTACCCAAGGAACTCGATGGTGCCAGAGGTTAGGGCGTTGGGCTACGATCGTTGAAGTGAAGGAATTTTCACAGTAGTCGGTCATTGGATGAGTGACCAAAAATTTTATATCGCGAGCTTGTCTGTGCTTCGGAAGGCACGTTAAGCCGTTGGTCTCGACTTCATCTGCAATTGTTAGCACCCACCATTCCGCGTCATGGCCTAAGGCCCAATCTCCTTATTCCATCAATAGGGAAGCCTGTGCTCCAGCAGAGGGGATATTAATAGGTTGATAATGATAAGGTGTACCTATAAGAATGTTCAAGACTTTTTCCTTCTTGGACTTCATTAAAATTTAAATCTGGTCATTTATTGTCCAATTAAATATACAGTGGAATCCGTTTATAATGAAATGGTAAGGAATTGACAAACGCGTCGTCATAATAGGCGGACTTCATACAAAGCGTTTTGTGAAAAAAAAAGAAAATATGGACTTATGTATTTTAATAGAGAAACATAGTACATATATTAAATCAAAACAAAAATTGCACGTAATAAGTACATACGATACATGTATGTATGTACTATATTTTTATTTTTTTAATGTAAGTAATCTGATTTTTTGTCTGTTTTTTTTTAATTATTTTATTGTAATAACAGTCTCTATCTTGGCGGCGGGTTGTGATGACATTTTTTTCACAGGATATCACTAAAAGCAATGCGTGACCTTCAAGTGTCAATTACTCACTGAGATTGTCGAAAGTCGTGCCGAACGTCGTCAGGAATCAACGAACATTACCGAAGGTGTAAAGAATCATGTCGTTTATTATTACCGGATATAATAATCAAAAATGGGTCATAATAAGCGACATGTAACTAAGGGAAGTCATCATAACCGACTTTATTTATTACAAATAATTTTATCTGAATACCAGACTTTTGGTTGATTAATATAGGAAGAGTCATAATAAACGGATTCTGCTGTATTTCTAAATATCTAAGTTTTAATTATTAAAGACATGGCATCAAATTTGGTTTCTGCATTAAGTTTTCATCTATTAACTCTTTTATATTTTTTGATTATCAATATCAACACTAAAAAGAAAATCTTACAAAATAAATCTTTATCCATATTTTTTATTCTCCAACAATTTTCATGTAAAGTACTTTAAGATTTTGATTCTTGCTTTGAGTGCTTACTACAACTGCTTTCAGGTAAAAAGCGGCTCTGAAACTTACATCAACAGCATCATCATCGGCTTTATCTGCATCATTCCGTTTTTCATCAGCGGGATTCTAGTCAACAGGATCGGAAAGAAACCCCTCCTCATAACTGCCACGATGATCTCCCTGGCTGCTACTTTCAGTTTGAGATTTGCCAGTTCCAAAGTTGCTGTTGTCACATTATTCGCATTGAACACGGCCATTTTGCAGATGTTGATGAGTCTAAGTCAAGCTGTTGTGATCGAGTTTTTTCCAACAACAACCAGGTTGACATTTTTTAATTTAATATCACGCACACTATTATTTAATAAAATACTTTTTGAATGAGCACAGAGCGCGATTTTGCTACTTTTTTACATTGTTCTAAGGTCTTAACATTTCGGAGACTTTGTAGGTTCCTGGTATCTCCATGTGTACATATAAAACAAAGTTGTGTAAGACGATGTGCTCAACTAAGCAACGTAACAGAAACATTATTTTTCACCAACACACAGCATGAGTCTGGCATGGCATTCAATGAACCCACCAGAATGACATACCAGAGATATGCCAGAGAACAAAAGCACTCGTGGCAATGACGTCCTCCGATGAAGATCAAGATGCTTTTGCTTATCTACAATTCTAAACGGTCAAAGACTCTTCTGGGTGCATTCCACGTCAAAAAAAAGGTTAAAAGACAGGTGTTTTTAATGAAGCTATTTATTTATTACACATTAGCTATTATTACACGGTCTTTCTTGAAACACTTCAATAATTTTAGATTAAATTTTAAATCGTTCTTCATTTCAACTGACAAGTCACTGTTTCGTATTGCGCGTCACTTTATTGTGTCACTAGTAGCTCGGTAAATGGCACGTCAGGTCGTGTCAGTCTACGTCACGCAAATGGGCACTAGCACATGCATTTACTTTGAATGTTGATGCAAGTAGCAAGTTACATGCCAGACACTTGTCAGATCACGTGTCACGATGCTTAGGTGGGCACATCGACTAAGTTAGAACACTTATAAGGGTTGGAACGATTTTTATGAGATCTAATTATTTGGATTCTAATATACCCAAATTTATAAAAAATATTGGTTGTAAAATTTTTAATTTAATTAAGTAAAACTTTTAGGGTAATATTCATCGATTGTAAGACGGTACAAAGCTTGCCGGGACAGCTATTAGTTAATAAAATACACAGTAAGAACTTGTCAATATAATATATTATACGCATCAAAATTAGAATTAAAACTATGAATTTGTGGAATTGATACTTAAGTCGATAAAAGTTATTGTTTGAATTCATTCTTAAAACATTAAGATTGGATTTCAGTAGGTACTTACTTAACGAATGTAATATTGAAATATCTAAAATTGCTGACACAAACCTAAAGGAATGCTGAAAAGTTAATTCTATATTGACTTGCCAACTGGACTTTGACCCAGGACCTTAGAAAGTGTCATCATACAGTCTGGTACAACTTTCACCTTCAAAGTTTCTATAAAATTGGGTTTTGTAGATACATATAATCTCTTATTCTTGAATTTCAAGTGTAAGAATTCCGAAAGATAAATGTGCAGTTATTTCAACACAACCTTTAACTTAAACATCGTGCAAGTTGCCCGTAAGCTTTGTAACTTAACAAGTAGGATTCTTTCGGAATATAAGTTGGTTATGATAAAACTTTGTTATTAAGCATAAGATTATCTTAGTGTGTCTTACAGGAGTATTCTCATTTTCTACCACTACGTGGGTTAAATATGTCGACAGCGCAGCTCTTCTCGATATAGATGCAAACTAGCAAACCAGTGAACCAAATGTTCACCAAAACCTGATTTTTAAAAAAAAGAATCTATTTAATTAATTGAGAACTTCGGAGATTTTGTGTGGTTTCGTTTGAAATTCGTGATTTCTCGAAAACCGGAAGTGCTACGTTACTCAAATCCGGTTTGTAGGCTTATCAGACTATTCTTAACTTATAACTTAAACATTCTCTTTATCTATCTCTTACGGTTTGGCCGCTGAAACAGCACCACGGACGGACGGACGGACGGACTTGTCTAATAGATAAGAGATGTTGAATAATTGTAATAATAATTAAATAGGTAAATAAAATAAAATGCCAATATAAGTCTGTAAAGAATGCGAAACGTCAAAGAAGTATTTAAAGACGCATTTTGAGCCCGTTTCAGCATGTTACATTTAATCAGTAGTGTGCGTGAAAACTTAAGAAACAAATATAATAAAATTATTTTAAAAGTAATTAGGCACAACATTTGGTTAGTGTACATTTAATAACTATCAATCTTTCGTTTCTTTATAATTGGCTCACAATGTTCTTACATAATATTGTCCACTTTTTTTACTTAAAAATATGTTATATTGATCTTTCATCCAATTGCAGGCGAAAATTATTAAAACTACATAAATATTATATTTGTTTCTTAGGTTTTCACGCACATCACTCATTAAATAAAACTAGTTTTTACGGGTTAATGCACGAAACTTTATTTATTTATTTATTGACGTTTATTATTTATTGAACATGCATTAGGGGGACCAAACCATTACATTAGATTTGATAAACCACAGATCCTTGCAGCTGAGCGGCGGTTCGTTCCTCGAATGATGCGCGAGGCTATTGAGATTAAAAAATATCCAAACAATAGGGAAGATGGTTGGTATATACCACCAGCTCCTCTTGAGTTTGTTTCGCCGGTTCTTCTCAGAAAGGTCTCCCAATTTTGGAACCGGTGGTAATTTACGGTAGTTAGGGTCAAATAAATAAACTCAAAATTACAAAAAAGAATTTTAAATAAAATACTTTATTAAGTAAATTTAATAATAAATTCATACATAGACAATAACACTTTAAAAATCGAACAATGAAATAACCGAACGCTCAATAAAAGTCTTTCGAAGGTAGCTCGACAAATTAAATAAAAGTTTGATTCTGACGACGTAGCCTGTAAAGGCTACGAAACGTCTATAATTATATAAAGTTTCGTGCATTAACCCGTAAAAACTAGTTTTATTTACATAAATATTAATTTAAATTATAATACATAAATATTAATTTAAATTATAATCATTTCATCTATAACCTGTTAAAGTCCCAAATTAACAATATCCAGAAAAAAGTAAATCTCCCTTAATTGTTTCAGGACCTTGGCAATCTCCATGATAATGATGGCCGGAAGAATCGGTACTCTAGTCGGGAATGTATCGTTCCCTGTTTTACTGAAAATGGCATGTGTCATTCCATTCTCCACCATGTCTGGAATGATGTTATGTAAGTAATGACGTAATAGCTGTGATAATTTTAAAGTTTTTGCCAACTTCGAACTATTATTCAGAGTTGGGTAACATTTTTTCAGCAACATTTTCTGGCTAGGAAAAAAATTGTGCTTCACGAAAAAGTTATTTTCATTCAGCTCTCTCGCTATTTTGGCGAAATACGAAATAACAAAAAAGCTAAATGGTGTGCCAGCGAACGGAGAGCGTACGAAAATATTACAAAAAAAAAATATTACCAAGGGCGACTCGAACTCGCACATGATGAGTTCCGTACATACCAGTTTAAGTAACATTCAATATTGCAATGTTTCATGTAGTGAGGACAGCTTTATTTATTTTATGTTTACAATACACAGTCTGTGAAAATTTAACTGAACTTAGTTGTGATGTTACGGTTCATGAGACACAGTCAGTAAGGTAATCGACCAGATAGGAATCCTAAATAAAAACCTACTAAAAATTATCTGATAGAAGGTCCCGTATCTATAATATTCGCGACAATAACAATTATCTTCAATGAAGTTGTAAAATAAATTCAATTGATGCACACGATTTCATCAGATGACTGTGTTTTCTTTTATCTTCAGGAGCAAATGGCTCTTTTAGAATTTTTTTTATCATTAACAAGCTTTGCTAGTGCGATAAAATGACCGAGCACGATTGGCGCTATAAATACAATATACGTATTAAACGTATGCAGAATATTTTTTGACGCCACAGTTATTAAATTATTACTCATAAAACAAAGGGGAAGTCCTTTAAATTTCTTAACCCAACTAAATTGCCTGTGGTAGTTGGCTTTTCATGGATTTATATTCAATTTCATTTCCATTATTAGATTTATTTATATTAGGGTGGGAAAAGAGTTTCTTCCCATGAAAATTAAAATCATTTTTTAATAAAGTTTATTTACATTTAACTAAAGTATGTTTAGGTGCCATTTTGCTCTGTAACATTTTTTCCATCACCACCTAGTAGTAAAAAACAAAGCGGATCTCGAATTGGAAGTTAAAATGTAAAACCATATAACATCAAGCAAAAGAAAATATCTTGCAAGTTGCCTCGTAAACATTGGACAGTTCAATTGAACTTTTCTTTTGAATAGGTACGTTTTCGACGCACTGCCTGTTTCGTTCCATTAGTGATATTGGCTGTCGATCAAAAAAAGGTTGACGTCTTCTGATTTATTGTTTTTCACCCTTCGATGTCTCCGAATGCTTTTTTTGTACACAATGCCGATTCGATTGAACAGAATTTCGGGTTCTTTCAAGAATTGCTACGTTTCATCTCGAATATTTTTCGGGTGGTGGCAATATTGACAGATATGTTGCATTCATGAATCAAATGGCTTAACAATCATACATGTATTGTTTATATTACTTCGAGTTAATTTAAACCTTTTTACTTTCAATGACATCAGGTGTATAGTTTGCAACGAAAGGACTGCCAAAACACTTATCGCAGTTTTTTGATCAGAATCCTCATCATTTCTATAGCAATGGAATCATGTACCAAATAGCACCTATATACTTTAGTTAAATTGGATAAACTTTATTAAAAATGATTTTTATTTTCATATAAAATGCGAAGAAACTTTTTCCCCAACCTAGAATAACAAAACGGCTGCCATTATCAATAGTTAACTGAAAATGTACCCTTCTATCCCCCTTTTACGGTTGAGTTTTAAAATGACAAAGTAATTAATTAATATAATTGATGCAATACTGTTTTTTAAATTCATGGTATGTTTTAAATAATGCCTTTATTTATAATTCATTTCATTTTCCCTTTCTTATTCGGTTTAAAAATTGTGTGTCTTAATCTCATTAAATTGTAATTAAGAAATTTTATTCAAATGTAATTATTAAAATTTTAAATGGTTAACAGAATGGTTACTGTGTTGTATACTCGAATACTCTCATTGAGGAGGGTGGTTAGCACGTTCGGCTGCGATTGTTGAAGTTAAACAAAAATCTTCTATCTCGAGTTTATCCGTGCTTTGGGAGGCAGGTTGAGCCTTTAGTCCCGGCTGCATCTGCAGTCGTTAGCACCCGCCAAACCGCACTGGGCCTGCGTGGTGGGTCATGGCCCAATCTCCCTATTCCATCCATAGGGAAGGCCTGGGCCGCAGCAATGGGAACATTAATAGGCTGATGATGATGATACTCGAATAGACAATACATAAATGCTGTTTGCACATGCTAGTAGAGTTCAGTATATCTTTATCATTTGTTTTACAGCGGAAAAATGATATAATTTTGTTTACTGTAGCTCTGTTTGTGCAATAAATAAATAAAATTTTAATGGGTCTCCAAACGAGAAATTATATTCTTTATTAATGAAAAAAATATAAAGAAACAAAGATACCACTAGAAAAATCGGAAATCGTAGTGGTGATTTTGAACAGTTAAATTTTTTAACTCAACTCCTATTTATTTGTTAGTAAATTGCACCCGTGCAAAGAGAGGCGAACCACTAGTTTTTAATATAATTTATATAATTTCCAGGTGTCGTGACAATATCCATGTTTCTACCGTCGAAGAAGAAGTAAACACATAGTATTAATTAGTTAAATAATTTACTGAAATAAACATGTTTTAACAAGCTGTGTTTCATTATTCTATCTTCACGCCGAGTCCCAGCTAAGGTACGCAGAGAATAGAGCTCCAGATTTTCCCTCTGGATCAAGAGCACTAGCAGCACCCAGCATCGAGTGATCCAGAACCTTTCCGATAAGCTTGATCCTGTGGCTTTGTGTAGAGATGCAGCTTCGTTCTGCATCTTCTATCGCATTCATCACGGGGAGTGCTCAGAGGAATTGTTCGGATCAATTCAGATGCTGCTTGTCGCCACTGTACATTGCAACAATCATTCCTATTGTCACAAACGCTCTCGAAACGGAACCGCGAATGTGCTAGAGTTCGAATGTGCCAGAGCACTGCGGGTCGCGATAGAGGTCGAGTAATGCGGCTCATTCTAAAATGAGCCTTATGCAGTGCGGCGTCAGGGAGAAAGTGCAACAACATCTGCACTTGTTTACAAGCTATGCGCGTTACCTGCGTAGGTATAAGTAGGTAATTTGTATTCGCGGGTGCTAGCTAATGCTCAATTTAACAGGTACTTTCTAGAATGCGTTTATCGGCGTATATAAGCGCGATTGGCGCCGCGCAGAGACAGTTGAGTTATAACAGCGATTTCGGAGAGAATCCAAAGGCGATCAAAGTGCAACAAAAGTGTTCAAGTGCGATTGTTTAGAGATTTGTATAGTCAAATACAGTATTTTTGTGAGTGTTTTGTAATTAACATTGTGTGTTAATTGTGTGGACTGTGTGGTGAATAAAGAACTGTCAAGCGTGAAATGGCATATAATTTCGAACCCCATCCCGACACGTAACACTATCATCTTGGTGTGTGATTATCCGCAACCGGGCGATTATGTGGTAATTTTTTACCGCGTACGAGAAAACTGTGGAATACATAAAAAAACCTTAAAAAAGAGTACTCTTTGCTTAAAGGCCGGAATCGCATTTGTGGTACTCCTGGTGTTGCATGTATTTATGGGTAACGGTGATCAGCTTTACATCAGGTGACCCGTCAACTCATCTATATCTATACTAATATTATAAAGAGGAAAGGTTTGTATGTAAGTATGTTTGTAACGAATTGGCTCAAAAAGTACTGGACCGATTTTAAAAATTCTTTCACCGTTTGAATGCTAAGTTATCACTGATTAATATAGGCTTTAATTTATTTTCAAAAAAGTTAGGGTTCCGTATGAAAATCTAGATAATGTAACCCAAAGTGTGTAAATATACCAAATAAAAAAAAATTATCGCGGACCCTGCCGAAGGCATTGACAATAGAGCAAAGTGATGTACTAAAGTTTTATAGAGGATACCAATATCTACAAAAAAGTCCGGGATACCATATGTCTAACTATTACAGTTATGTCACAACTACAGGTCTCCTGCGGTTTCACACGCGTTAATTTGAAGAAAAAGGATTATAGGGAGTCAAATTAAAATATGGACATAGGCTGTCTTGGACTTTTTTACAGAACTTTAAAAAGGGAAGAATTCCGTTGAACATGATTTTTGTGTAACTTTATCCGTTTACCCAGCGCACGCAACGGAATCTCACACATGGAATATTTTTAACCGGTTTTGCAAAATGTTTCATCGATGCTCTGCTGCTACTAGTCGTAGCCTGGTAATATATAGCCTACTAAAGCCTTTCCCGATAAATGCAATGTCCAATACAAAAATATTTTTTCAAATCGGAACAGCAGCATTCGGTATAACGGGTCCTAAACTACGCAACGAATTTTTTACTTGGAATGGAAGGTTTATAATTATTATAAAGAAAGTCATTGTGTATAATACAATCCTATGAACAAAAACTATAGTTTACACTACAGCTCTACACCGAAGCAAAGCGAGGGCGGGCCTCTAGTAATAATATAAAAAGGCACGGTTCATACTCATATCTTGCACTACATTCAAATTCATTACTCTTTTCATACACGCTGCAAAAACAAAAGGCCTATTTAATGCATTCGCACTACGAATTCTGCCTTTATTGTTACGCAATAAAAGTGTTGTCAATATCAATTTGTTTTCATCAATGTGGCTCTTACTGTGTTACAGCTTTCAATAGGCCCGTTATTTAGCTTGCAACTGATTTTTCTCGCTCAGAGTGCGATTTTTTTTTGTATCGGCCATCCAATGACCGATTGTATTTATTAACAAAGTTTCTTAACTTCGGCAATCAAGGGGTCTATTGGGAAATTGAGTTCTTACGGATCACTTAATATTGAAGTTCATTTTATTATATTTTAATTTAAGCAATAAAGTGCTTTTGAAGATTCGAGATACCAGTCTTTAGGATTCAACCTCAGTGAATCCACCTGGATTAACGAAATACGCTGGTTCAAGTCTAGCCTAATATATAAACCTTGGTCGAATAAAGTTCTAAGTCCAATGTTGGACAAAAGCGTGGATATAAAACGTTACATAGGCAACTCGAAAATATTCACCAGTACAGTAGTGCCGGGCTAAAATATACGCTACAAAGCGGCCGCATACCGAGCATTCTTTTTCTGTTCATTTCTCACGTACAAACAACACTTGCCTTTGCATTATCTCACTTCCTAGTGTTTGCATGTAGAACAGTGTGAACATAGCAATGGAATGCAAGCTTTAATGACGCCATTTTGTATTTAAACCGCTTCCGTTTGAATCGGAATGAGTTTGGAATAAAAATGAGAATGTTTCTTTTCACTAGGTATATACCTCTTTGATTCATCAAGTAATTTGCATACTTACTTACCACTTCTGCGATCTCGGTTTCGATTCTTAGAAAAAGTTATGAAGAAAATAATCAATTGCTTTGTCAGATTATTGATTAAAATATTCATTCTACGAGAAAAATCATTAAAATGAATTCGTTAGGTAATTATATAGCTTTAATTTTATTCAACATAAGTGGAATTCTGTACGGCTAAAAGTTATAATGTGAACGAAGAAGTTATTTAAGGAAATCGGATTTCATAATTCACCAGTCGTATAAACAAAATCTTACAAAATAAAATTGTTAACGATCAATAATAATGTTTGAATTTAATTTAATTACATATACAAAAAGATTTTACCACTCTGAAGGCAACTGAATGAGAACTGTGAAATGTTAAGTAATTGCGAAACCACAGTTGACTCCTGTGACAGAACACAGGATTTTTCCTATACATATACGAGTATCTCTTACCGGGCCCTGGTAATGGCAAAAAATGCTATTCTCGTGGATTTTCGATATTCCAATGATATTATATCTATCGTGGACATTTGTTCACTGACGAATGCGTTCCGTTTTTCTCGATTATGTTTACATCATAGTCTATATAAAATAATAATAATTAAGCAGTATTTTACAAGCAAAAAAAATCTATTTTATATTTTAGGAATGCCATTAATATTAAATATGAGTATACATTTTTTGAGTATAAGAACTCTCAACTTTACCTAAATTGTATGCGTAGTTAATTTCAACGTTAAGTATAATGAAACGTCAATATTTTTTAAGATTCCCCCTAAGGGAAGGCAAAGGGAACAATGCCCATATAGCCTAGTCTTAAGATATATTAATCTTCTTTTTTTTACATTAGAATGTCGATGTGACGCATTCTAATGTTTCTTGGAGTGTTTGGCACGAAATGTATGGAGTTGGCTTTTTCGATAAGCTTCTGTGAGGTAGTCAACACTACAATAAAGTTCTCACGTCCTCTTGACCGGAATAGTGTATGTTTTAAAGAATTCACTAATTCTCCAGTTGCGCAGACGGTTGTAACACAAAATCACACTAAGTTTAAGACGCCAACCGCACTCGAAGAAGTCCCGCCAAAAACTCCGACACGTCAATAAGAAAACGTCATTCATAACTTTATTTGTTAAAGATATCTAACCAATTTTTTGTTTAAACGAAATTTTTTATAAAGTCGGCGTCCCTCATTTCAAATGGGTCCTCCTGCTCTCACAACGGCGGCGGCGCCTTGGCACAGCAGCAGCAGTCGCTTTATTTATTAAGTCATTGACGAAAACATGAATCAACTCATCCATCGTTACTATATATTGTTTACCTACTTCTTTATTTACTACTTATTTAAGAAGGCAGTTAACAACATGTTCAGGTAACCATAATTGGCAATGACACACGACAACACAATAAATAATAGGTGAAAAAAGTGAAAATGACAAGATTGACAAGCCAAGATCCATAGATATTTATATATCGAAGGCTCTTTACCAGTCGATGTATGTCTACTGATCATCCGTAGATAGATATCTATTGCGACATGGTGAAAATAGGGCAAAATGGTTTTCCTTCGATAAAAGCCAGTTCATTCGATATATATCGAAGGTGATATAATATCTACGCCGCGAGAATTGGGCCCCTGAACTTCGACTGTTTTGACTTAAGTTTCACAAAAATGCTCTGTAAAAATGACATTCAGAGAGTCTTGGCGTACTTCTTTGGTTTCTGTCATATACGCATAAATACTCTCCATACCTTCTTACAGCAGAGAGAGCTTCATTCCATTTGATTTGGATCTGACTTCGCTTTAATGCTTACCTGTAAAAAATAAACAAAAATAAGTTTATTGATAATGCTTATACATATACTATAAACTGGTGGAGACATCTACTCTTATCTACCACACTAATGATGCCACATTGATAATGCCGAAGAAAATGATGAATTCATCATCACCGGCCTTTTAATGTCATCACTGCTGGGGCACAGGCCTTCCCTGTGGATGGAATAGGGAGATTGGGCTATGACCCACCCCACGGGCCAAATGTGGATTGGTGAGTGCTAACGACTGCAGATGCAGCCCGGATCAACGGCTTAATGTGACCGTCAACTCTAGATAGAATATTTTTGGTCACACATCCAATGACCGACCACTGCAGAAGTTGCTTAATTTCAACGATCGCAGCTGAACGCGCTAACCACTTGCGCCATCGTGCTCCTCAATTATGAATTCCCATTTTAAAAGCTTTCATTAACTTGTACGTTTGTAAGAAAGTTTGCTGGCCCAAAGGCTTGTTTTATTTCACGATAAATAACAATCGCTCGATTAAATTAAAGACGGCGTCTTCTTTAATAAAATCTTATATTACAAATTGAATATATCCCCAAGTTTTAATAAGTACTGCAATTATAAACGTACTAATTGGATTGCTTTGTCCACGTTTGTCAGTTTAATTACTGGTAAGGTATAAAGGTCACTATTGTAATGTTAAATGAGCTGTCAGCTGTCTTTGGTTTGATTAAATTGTCTAGAGGCAGACGTTGTAGGGCCAAGTCGGAATCAATGACAATGCCTATTCTATGCTATACACGAAAAAAAATCTTATTAAGTCAATGCAAATAAAAATAAAAATATTATTAAAAAAGCAAGTATGTTAAAACAAGAAATAAACATATATTTTTATTTTTTAATCATTTAACTGCTAGATGTTTAAGTCCAAAGAAGCGATGCCTTGCAGCCTAAGAAATACTAAAAGAAATTCGACACGGCCATTAAGGCTCTGGTAGCATAATTGGTCAGTGGATCCGCCCGGAGAGCGGAGGGTACGGGTTCGAGTCCCGTCTGCTGACTGGCTGCGTGAATTTTTTTCTAGTAAAAATTTAAATAACACGTTCAGATCCCGCTTTACCATTATTGTATGGGCTTACTATACACACTTTATTTAATTACGCAATAGTTTGTAGGCACTTTTATG